ACTCTTTTTGTTTTCAGTTTTTGTACAAAGTCAATGTGTAAATGTATGTACTGTAAGTTAGCACTTAAACTTCAGGTGAATTCGTATTAGACTGAAAACACATTCCATGACAGGATAGGGTGGGCAGAGGGAGGGTGTTCTTCTGAAAGCCTAAGAAAAAGAAATCCAGGCGAGACACAGGAACGTTTGGTGACAGATCACTTTTTTTTTTTTCTTTACGAAGGGGAATACGACTATGAAAACTAATATTTAAAGAGCTTATACTATTATCTCAATGACAGTTACTCGTTGTCTTGCTAACAAGTCATTATTATATTGGATGATGGAGATGTCTTCTCATTCTTTTTAATGCCTGGCAAGTCATGTTCCGTCAGTGTTTCTAAGAGCTAGTTTCGTGCACTTATTTGGCCATTTTGTGAGCTCTTTCTTGGTGTAAGTGCATCGGGGTGCTGGCTTCCAAGTCGCACCCCTGTAATGTTAGGTAAAGACTGTGTGAACCTAAGTGTTATTTGTGGCATGGTCATGCATTCAATGGTAATCGTTTTTACTGGATCAAAAAATAATAATGATAATGATGATAATAATAATAATAATGAAAAAAAAAATCAAAGAAAAAAAAAACAAGAAAAACAGTTTTCATTCCATCTTTTTATGAGTTTGTTATATGCGACTGTCTTGCTGGGTCACCCCCTTTCTCATTATGTGAAGTAATTTGAATCCTAAGCTGAATACATTGCGCTGAAACTCCTACTCTTCGGTGGTTTAGTGTTTGATTTGTGCCTGTTTACTTTGTGGTGATCTCTCTAACTTCCTCCGAGTCCTCCTCTCACCTTTCTATTACTATTGCTTGTTGAGCCCCTTACTTAATGCTTTCTCTAACCCTCACCTCTCTCTCTCTCTCTCTGGTTCACTCCCTCTGTCCTCGTATACTAGTCTTTTTGTACTCTCACTAAAGAATGCTTAGTAGAAAGCTGTACCATTCATTTGTTTTGTACATAAATGTGCCAACCGCTTGACAGTGGCTTTTCTGATCTGTAGGGACAAATTGCTTGCATAAATAAACTACACTGGTGTACTTGTTAATAAATACTCTACGGTTGTTGTTGTTCTTGACAATCTGTGTATCGTGTTGGAATTCACATACACTCAAAATATTTCATCACTTTACCTTGTGGTCAAATTGAAATGAATTGGTTTTACTTAGTAAAATAATCTAACTAAGATGGGTTACACAAATGAAGGTAATTTGTAAAGGTCAAATGAAAAATAAATAAAGCACTTTGAGAGAAAAATTGCACTTTTTTAAAGTATTTGCATGTGGTACAGCCTATGTTTCACATGAACTACGGCATGTGATATTACAGCTTACTCTATGTGACAATGTCTTCAAAGTTTTAGATGTGTTTTCATAAACTTACAACAATACTCCCCCACCAATATATATATACATATATATATATATATATATATATATATATATATATTTCTGTCATCATTTACTCACCCTCAGGTTAGGGAACACAAAAGGTATTTTGAAGAATGTTAGTTGATGGGCCCTATTCACGCAGCCGCCATTTTGAAATGGCTCCGTTGGAAAGAAAACCATAAGTGTCGTCTTAGGAGTGTGGCGAATGTGATGTTGTTTAACGTAGAAATTAGTTATTCTAAAAAATTTACACACATTTCTTTCATACTTTAGACTATATACAGTGAAATTCATTTATAAATATATATACATTTTTTATATATATAATTCAGAGCATAACAAATATGAAGGACTAAAAATGACAAAAGGTTAAATAAATAAATACATAAACATAGAAGTAAATAAATAAGTGCAATAAATATAGTGAAAATAAATACATTTTTGAAATATAAATGGCTATTTTCTATGTATTTATTTATTTATTTGTGCATTTATATATTATTTATTTATGTATTTCTACATTTATTTATTCATTTATCTATTTATATGTTTATTTATTTCTACATTTATTTATTTATGTATTTCCACATTTCTACATTTATTTATTTCTGTATTTGCAAATGTATTTTTCCCTGCGACTGTATGCTAATTAAGTGGGGTGCCAACATCAGTCTGAAGCAGGATTGGTTAGCTGGGGGCCGCATCGCTAATCAGACAGAAGCAAACGATCCATCTATCCATCTCTGGACGCACGAATGCATGTTTTTGAAATAAAGTATTTTATGCTCTCCATAGCCTGACAGTGTCTGTATTGCTTTCACTGGCACTATGTAACTTCGGGGTGCGGGTAGGAACCCGGCCACAAAAAGAACTAGGCCTACAAAATTTGACCGCTTTACTGCATATACGTCACTTCCCCCACTTCTTCAAATTCTGACGCGAGAGCCCAACGATCGTTTTGTTCCCCCCTCTGTATGTTGTCATGGCTGAAGTAGCAAGAAAAAACCAAGAAGACAAAGGTTTTGTCGGAGGACAGAAGAAAGAGAAAATGGGAGAATGGCAAAATAAAAGGCTGGACGAGGATCAATATTGGTCCAGCTTTGAGCCAATGGAGAAGTGCCCGACCCATCCAAGAGGTCCTCGCTCCTAAAGGTAAAATTTTTGGGGTACGCCAAAATGAGCAAACAAGTGATTTTTTTATGCTAATACTATTTTAAAAACATGCATTTGTAATGCTACTCAACAAAAACGTAAGTAAGTCTCCAGACCCCGGTCCAGTGCATCAATCTTCAACCCGCCAAGCAAACGTGAAGTGCGTCAGAAACAGATCACGTGTCAGATCAGTTTACTGCAGGTAATGTGTTGTGTTGCTTCGTACCTCGCCGCATCCAATGTAGATGTGAGAACTCTTTCCTTGTGCAGAGTTCGGGGGTCTCGCTTGTCAACAAATGCACACGTGTATTCCCTAGTGTAACCATGACATATTTTACGACAGTAGTAGAAGACAATACTGTTTCCCAACTGTAGGGGGACCCCGAGAGCAAAATTTCAAAAATAATAGAATGGGCTCTATGCACGGCGGTATTTCCGTTGAAGGAGGATGCTCGATAACTTCCGCCGATCGTAGAGTCCAATGCAATACAGAGAATTTATATAGAATTTTATACTTAATACTAAAGAAACGTTAGTCACAAAAAAAGGATAAAACAGACACCCCTCGTTGTGTTTATGCTTCTTTTTAAAATTAGATTAAATAAACATAAATATATATAAAATTGCATCTAAACGTATGTACGTTTCGTTTCAAAGACACAAGGACAGTAAATTTTGAAGACTCTGCCATAATCCAGTTTTCCTCGGTTTTCCTCAGCTTTAATCTCCACAACCGGAAATGGACGAGCATCCTTGCGTCAAATGCGGAATTTATGTGTGCATATAGCCCATTCTGCTTTAAAAGAAACTAACATTGGACCTGGACGTGGTGCCCCATGGGCAGTTGCATATGGTTAATCCGCCTATCCTATGATTGTAGGTCAATAAATTCTCACTTCAAGCTGAACTCAAAAATTGGCAGTCATCTCTTAACCCCGACAGAACAGTTTGGCCAAGCGAGCTGCCACCTGACCTACTCAAAGTAAACCTCCAAGTCATGACCTGAACATCAGCTTACACACAGGTTGGGTGTCATCCACACAATGCATGCAATAGCGTGAGGCGAGGGAGGTGACGGAAGCCAAAATCATCCTCATACAGGACAGGATGTGCAGGATGGAAAAGTGTCAGGGAGCGAGCGGTCACGTGAGAGAACCTTGCCGTTAGCCGATTATAGCGTGTGGGCTTAGCCTATCCGAACACAGTCTCTCTCTCTCTCTCTCTCTCTCTCTCTCTCTCACACACACACACACACACACACACACACACACACAGCTCAACTTTAGTGACCTACTTAGCCTTGAGAAATCCTCTTTCTAATCTCGGCGCTCGCACCTCCCAATCTTCTAGTTCTTCTCAGCTTCCTGCTCACCTGTGTTAGCATGCTAAACAGGATGCTTGCGGCATTGCACTTTTCTTGCTTTTATTCATTCTGCCCGAGGACTGCTAAAGGGATTTTTGTTCACTGATGATCAATTGGGATCTGATGTGTGTCCGTGACTGAAGGATGTATCGTCTGCTGGTGGCCCAGGTTCTCCTGGGCTGCTGGAGTGTTGCACAACCCTTCTGTCCGTCGCAGTGCACATGCGTGTACCACGGGCGCACCGATGGCACTGGAAGCAGGTGAGGACACTATTTCACAATAATAATAATGATAATAATAATAATACAAGTTTAAAAAGTGCAATAAAAATAGGCTATAATAAAGTTTAATAAAATGTCAAGTAAGATAGTTCATTTAGCATAACCTTGCAAAAGGCATAATTTAGGACCATTGGATAAAATATTGAATAGCCTAAGTAGACACTCAGTAGGCCTATAAAAATAGGTTGAGCTGGAATAAACTGAACATTAATAGCATTTGAGAAATATCAATAGGCCCACGTTTTAATAGTACCATTTTATGAAGTAGACC